ACGGAGAAGATTCTTCATTAACTCTCCCTCTCTCCTGCTGCAACCCCCCCCCCCCCCCCCCCCCCCCCCCCCCCCCGGCCGCGCCCAGGCGCCGCGGGGGGCGCGGCGGCGCGGTTAGACCAAGGAAGTGAAGTTGGAATTTCACACACTCTGGGAACCGACTCAGATATGGGCCACTAAGGTTTCAGATTTCAGTTGTGCAGTTGGTCATGTGACTCACTCTGAATTTGTCAGAACTGGAGTGAATCCACATAGGAAGGACATGTGGACCACACGAGGTACTGCTGGTCCAGGTCAGTCGGGCCGTGCCCTGTTTTTAGTAGTCATCTACCAAAAAGCAGTGCCATCATCCAGTGTACCATGTGGGCCACATCTCTCCATGTTGGTGCCCAGTACTGATTAGTAGCAGCAGCAGGAACAGTAACAGTTTTTTTTTTCAGTTCAATGTGAATCTTAACCTACATTGAACGAAAATGATGTTTGATCTTTATGCAGGCAATTAATGATCGGTTCCAGTTCCCAGGCTCCCTGTGACGCCTACAGGCACTGGTACTGTTCACAGAAATCACTTTATCAGGCCGCTCTGTCTGATGATGATGATTAGAAACACCAGAGAAGAACTCATAAAAAGGCATTAAGCTCTAATGTAACAGACAGTTCAGCAGCAGCAGCATCGGTACCAGTCCCTGGAGCCAGTTCAGCTCTGAAGAGCACATTAGTATGAATGAAGCTCAGGGCTGTGACTGACTGATGTAACCTTTCAAACAAACGTTCATGTAAACCAAACACACTCTTAAAGGAAAACTCCACATTTTCTTTTGTTGTTTTGTTCTTTGCTTTTTCGGTTCGGTGAACACGGAACCGATCTCCTGTCATTTTGTTGATCTTTGTTCTAACCCCAGAGAAAGACGTTTGGTTTCAGTGAAAGATCAGCACACACACAGTTAGAACTTTAAAACCACCCTGGTACCAACAGTTTAGATGCCTGTGGTTCGGTTCTGGTTCCTGCTGCTGTCACTGACTCAGTTCAGTTCACAGGAATATCTGGGTGCAGTAACACTGAAGCTCCAGTACTGTTTACTCATGAACACGTGCACCCAGGAACTGTTTTTGTTGCCACAGCAGGAACACCGATTCTGCAGTTCTCTAGTCTTTGGTCACATTCTGCATCTGAATTAATGGAACAGGAACTGGAACTGATAAGTGATGGGAATGTGCCTGGTACCGATGTCTCTTGGTTTTGGCTAACTTTAGCTAGCTTACTTTAGCCCTTCATTAACATCACATGTCATGATGTCATATCATTAACTTGTGCTGGTCATGTTCTTTAGCTACTTTTAGACAACAACGTAAACACTTAGCTGGGCTTCGGTGTTGTAACACACGGCTAACATTTAGCTAACACTAGCAGTGACACCAAACAACACATCCTTCCCTTCTACAAAGATGGATCCTCTTCATCCATCCTTGACCTCGCGCCCTGGGAGTATGACATCACTGTCAGAGACAGTCCTGGGTTATCAATACCACGGTGTCACATTACACCTCCAATGGATTTATCAGCAGATGATCAGACGGAAAAAACCCTGAAGGTCACAGAGCAGGGAACGACAACTGTTTACCTCACTGATGGCCCCGCCCCCTGAGGTCAGGGTGACCAGAATCAATAAGAGTCGGGTTATCAGGTGATCAGCTGATCGATAATCTGCACATGAAAGGTTAATGAGGTTTGACATTAGAGAAGAAGAGAGATGAAAAAAAAAACTACTACATATGAAATAATAATCATCTACGTTGGAGAACGGACAAAGACGCAGTGACGCAAAGGCACAAAGACGCAGTGACACAAAGACACAAAGACGCAGTGACGCAAAGGCACAAAGACGCAGTGACACAAAGACGCAGGGACGCAAAGACGCAGTGACGCCAAGATACAGCGATAAAAAGACAACACAATGATACTGAGATACACTGGTCCATCGATGGACTCTCAGTGTCCCCTCCTCTGTCTCCTCTAACCTCCAACCCTCCCTTGTTTATTTTAATGTATTCATTGTTCAACTTTCTCCAGCATTAGCTCACCTGTGTTTAAAGGCTAACGCTAACACTGTGACCTTTAGGATCAGGGTCAAGAACCCACATGGTTTTGATGAAGTCCACTTTGACACCTCTTGTTCTCAGGAACAAAACCAAACAGTTTCTTTTAGAACTCCGTCAGGTGAGGTCCAAACCTCTGCTGTCAGAACGTTTCCCCGACCTTTTGTGTCTGAAACGTGTCTTCTCACTGACTGTCTGGACCTGTGTCTGAGCTCCTTTTGGACAAGTGTGGACTCACGTCTCCTGCCGTGGCAGCGTGTCTCCTGTGGACGGGCGGTCTACTTCCTCAGGGCACGGATGAGGGCAGTTTTGATGATGTTACTTCTTTAATTCGGAGAAGACATCAGAAAATCTGTGCTTATCCTGGCTCACCTCTGACACGCCGACCCCCCACCCTCGTCCAATCAGAGAAAGTCTGGACACAAACCACGCAAGGAGCCGGTCAGACTGTCCATCAGCTGCTGGAACAGCTCTGCTTCAGCCACTGATTAACCTGCCAAACGGTTCAGGAAAACGGTGTTGTTTTTCACTGCGACACAGAGGAGGTGGAGCCGACAGGTGATGGTGATGATGATGATGATGATGATGATGGTGAGGATACCATGAGAGACCAGAAGGTTCTTTATAGAACCAGACCTCAATGCTGGTTCAGTGCTGGTTCCTGTCTCTGGGACGGTTTCTCAATAGAAAATAAATCCTGTGATTAAAAAGAATGAAAAAAGTTCAAGTTTTAAAAAACGGGTTATTAACCTGTCAGCCCTCCATAGTCTCCTCCTGCTCCTCCTCCTCCAGGACTCTGCAGTGAGTGATGAAGCCTGAACACCATGAAGCTCTCCTTCTGTTATTGCCTGTTAACACCCAGGGTCAGGCTGCTCCTCTGGGGGCTTCTCTCTCCATCACTGTTCTAAATGAACTGGAGGTGAAGTTCATGAAGTCCATAAAGTCCACCTCTGTCCTCCTGCAGCTTTAATGGCCCATCTGTAAAGACAGGAGGCGCTGTCTGACACGTCTCGGGGGCTTGATTGTGATTTATGAGATGAAGAGCGGAATCAGCGATGTCAGTGCAGACACGGACGCAGAGGTGGGAATGTTCTAATATCCGCAGCTCTGCTCCCAATCCCAGCATAATGGAGCGGGAATGTCAGCGTGTGTGTCCAGGACTAATTGGTTTTTGGTTATTAGTCTTTGATTTAGTATTTTTATAATGAGTTGAATGAGGATTGGACGATCTCAGATCTTTATGTTTGGTCTCAGGACGTAGGCTTTTTCAAAGTTCCTGACAAGTTAAATGTACAGTAGCTAATTTTATATCTATATATTAGATCGATACACTGACAGATTGACAAATGGAACGACTGGATTTAAGTGGAAATGAAACATCTGAGAGTTCAAGTCACAACAAATGTGAAGGAAAAAAAGACAAAATATTTTTTACCTGCTGACGTTTCCTGGACCTCTACTGTAGTTTGTTCCAGTCACTCCGGGAATAACAACTGTCACCCATCCACTGTAGAACAGAACAGAAAAGCTTTTGTTGTCACTGCTAAACACAGCAGTACTGTGCAGCTAAAAATATGTGAACGGCTCTATTACCGATTGCTCAAACTTAGCTGCCAGAGTATTGAATTGGAAAAGCTAACACTAACAGACAGGTGAGGAGCAGCTGTGCAGCAGTGGACAAGGCAGCAGTCAGTCAAAAAGTTATTCTAAAGTGCAACTTTTAGGTCCATTTTGAGACAGTTCTCTTTTTTATTTTGGACTCTTTCTGGTAGTTTTATCGAGTTCCTTTACCAAGTTACCTTTTACCCTGGTTCTAGGGCTGACCCTGAGAGCACAGGTCACAGCAGCAGCAGAACAGACTGAGCCGGTCCATACCTCATATCTACATATGCCCTCACGTTGGACTAGACTCTTTCCTGCCAGGGTTTCGGGGTTTGTTTTTCGTGCACAGACCACAGTCCTTGGCTCAGTTCAGCTGGGCTTATCTGAGCCAGAACCCAGATCTGCAGCTCATTCTTCATTTCTCTGCAGATCACGTTTGTTTCTCCAGCCGAGCAGAAACTTCAGTGAATCTACGTGTCAAACGCTCCGAGGATTTCATGATTTATTTGCTGCTCCTTCCATTTTCACACACACACAGGCACGCACACACACACACACGCACACACGTAGCCCCAAAGAGAAAACTTTCTGATATTTGTACTTCTTTGGTCTGTTAGCTGATGTAGTGAAAGTGAACAGTCGTCTCCTGGTTGTACTGACACTGTTGTTACTGTACTGTGATACAATTATTTTAGTTATGGTCACTTTGCAAACCAGAGCAACTATCAGACAATCGTTGAGTGTGTGTTGATGATTCTTCAGGTATCTATCTACTATCAGGCAATCGTTGAGTGTGTGTTGATGATTCTGTGTTGCCATGTTGTTAATGTTGTTGTGTGTCATTGTTGCTGTTGTCGTTACTGTTGTTGGTGTCATTGTTATTGTTGCTTTTGTAGTCGCTGTTGTTGTTGCTGTTGTTTGCATTGTTGCTGGTTTCAGTGATGTTGAAGTTGTTTTCGTTGTTGTTGTTGTTGTTTTCAGTGATGCAGATGTTGAGGTTGTTGTTTTTGTTGTTGTTGTTGTCATTACTATTGTTGCTTTCATAGTTGCCGTTGCGTTGGCCTTCATCCAGCAGGAGGTGTTACCTCAGGAGGTTGTGCAGTTGTTCAGTGGAAAGGAACAGTTTCCACTCCTCAGTTTTTCATTCACTCATCAGACCAGGGTTTGGCTGCGGTCCATTTATTTCATCTGCAGGAGAACAGATATGGAGCCGGGCTGTTGCCAGGACGCCGGTCGTACGCCTGTTGGACAGAATACAAAATTCATAAAGAATAATCAAAAAGAAAAAATCAATTCTGGGATGCTGTCCAGGTCGTGGTCATCACTGCCAACACTGAGACGACCATCGATCCTGCAGACACTGACACTTATCTGTGGCAGGAGGTCGGCCCTATTTAGCATTTAGCTCAGTGTGAGCTCTTTCTTCGTCTCTAGACTCCTGTGTGTGGGATCTGCATGGACGTGATGTTTCAAAGTGTGAAAAGAAGACAAGTACCAGCAGCTAAATGTCACATGACTGACTCACTGCTTCTAGCTGTGGATGAAGAGGCTCTGGTGGGAAGTGTTTTCTCAGCAGACGATGCTAAAGACGAGCGATAACCGAGGTTTGGTCTAAAGATAAGAGACCGACGTCTGCCTCTCACTGATCACACCCAAAGTTTACACGCGGTAGATTTCAGCTGCTCATTCTGACTGACAGCGTCTGATGTGCACACACCTGCGTCATCAGCGTACACTGAGAGGGAAACAGGCCGTAAGACATTCAGCCTGTTGAACCTGACCATCTGACGAGCTGTCAATCACTGACGTGATTCAACCGTCTCTTTCTTTCTGCTGTGGAATTGATTCAGTCAAACCAGAAATCTCCCTGGGACACGCCTTCAGTCCATCATCTACTGCTGAGTCCTGGGCAGAAGGTGTTTTAGATTTTCCTTTTCTAACTTTTATCGTTCTTGTTGGTCAACATCATCACCTTCTGGAAACTCAGTGAACAGCCTCTGATATCTCGTCTGTTCTGGAGCTTATTTAGGTAAAGCTCCGCTCCGAGAACATTGGGTTTGTTTGACGACTAGAAGAAACATTCTGTGTTTGGATGAGGTCAAAGTTCAGTCTGGACCAAATTCATTGATGTTGAGGACTTCATTTCCCACTGTGGTTTGCAGTTCTTTTTACAGCCTCCTTTAAGTAGATGATGAAGTTGACTGACAGACCTTCTGCTGTGAGGAGCAGAGTGAAGGATGAGGAAGGAGGCTCCTCTGCCTCACTGTAAACTGACAAACACTTTCTGCTGCTAACAGTCTGTTTGCAGACTCTTTTTTTTTTGCCCTGTCAGCTCAAACATTCGAGCAGAGTGACAGAGTTTCTGCCGGCTGTTCGTAGCTGATAAGGAAAAACCTCCAAGCTCTCAGAGGCCAGAGCTGCTGCTGCTGCTGCTGCTGCTCACACTCTTTGCTTCAAGATGGTTAATTGGTCTCCAGATGAAAGAGTGATGGTTGAGCGTGGCTATCCAAGCTCCTAATGAGTCCAAAGACTGCTGCTGCTGCTGCTGCTGTCCAAGCAGAACAGGCTCTGACAGGTTAGGACCAGAACAAATCATCCAGCCTTCACTACAGAGTGAGTTCTAACGCCTTGAACTGTGCAGAAATGTCAAATCATTTGAAAGCAGAAGTTTACAAATGTCTTCTAGAACCACACTGGACTCACCACGACTGAACGGTCTGGGGTAGAAGTCCTTCTCACAACAGATCGCAACTAAATGTTCCTGTTACCATCTGACCACTGATTGGCCACACAGTCCATGTGACTTTGTCCAAATCTAGGACATATTGCAGTATGACATGTTTGAGACTGGACCAGGTGTCCTCTAGCCTTGGCTGGTACTGTAGGGCTGTGGGCTGTGGGCCACCAACTTTAAACCCACTGCAGGACCAAATAAATCCTGGTAAAGTTCCAGAATGGGACCGAGGCCCAGGACTTTGGAAACTTCCAGTTGTTTAATCAGACAGATCACCATCACCAACCACAACAAAACAGTTCTGATGCTTGATGATGTTACAGCTGCTGGAGAAACATTGACTCCACCCACCCATCCACCCACCCATCCATCATCCATCCATCCATCATCCATCCATCATCCACTCGATGGTCAGGACGTTTAAACTCACTCTCTCTCACCTGTTCGTCTCAGATCTCATCCTCTTTGATTCTCTTCTTCTTCTCTCCTTCATCAGTGGGTCAGACTGTGTTGCATGACTAGATGATGTCACCGTGACAACAGTTGACTCCTCCCACTCCACCCTGTCAGATGAGAAAAGTTCAAAGCTGTAATGATGTGAATGCTCCTCTAACGTGTTCCACTGGTTCTGTCGTTTCAGGACCTTACCAGCACGGCTACAACCACGGAGCTCTGGGGAGTCCAGCTCCGACCCCTAAGAATGGTAAGACCAGAGAGTCAAGAGCCCAGCTCAGGTCCAGACCACAGGTCAGGGTCAGGGTGTTTTGAGTCCTCAAGACTAGGAACTCAAACGCTCCACTTTGATTTAAAGTGAGTCATCAGTCAAAGGTCAAAGGCCACAAGGGTAAGGTACCTTGGCCTGGAGGTTACCAACATCAGCCTCAAGACCCTCCTCCGGGAGAGTCTCCTCATTCACTTCTATTTAATTAGAAACATTAGAAACATTCGAGTAGGGGGGAGGAGAGGGGAGGAGAGGAGACGAGAGGCGATAAGTGGAGAAGGAAGCGGAGGAAAGGAGGAGTGAAGAGGGGAGAAAAGAGCAGAGGAGAGGAGGAGAAAGAAGAGGGTGAGGAGAGGGGGAAGGAAGGTCTTAAGATAAATATTCACTTCTGACTCTGCTAAGAATTAATATAAAGATGTAGATTTTGAAAATCTCAACCTCAGTCCCTGAAGAGCAATTAAGTTTCCTGAGTCCAACGTTTGAAATATAGTTCTCCAGTTTCTGTTGAACCCAGGTCCAGGACAGTGACTAAAGAACTAAAGATGAAAGAAGTGGTTTCAGTTTAATCTGGTTTCCTTGGACAGAACTGTAAACTAGTACCACTCACTGGTTAACCAGTACTACACCCAGTACTAGTCCTAAGTGTTAACCTAACCAAAAGAAACCAAAACAACCCACTACTCAAAAGGAAATTTAACCAACAAACCCAGGAGTCGAACTATGTGCCAGAATCATCCAACCAACCAACCAACCAACCAACCAACCAACCATCCAACCAGTTGAAGACTTCCTGTCTGAAACATTAGTTCTTACTGATTTTATACATTTCACTCTGGTGGTGTGCTCTAACACAACTGCAGCGCCCCCTTCTGGACATGCTTATGTTTAGAGTGTATATTCGATGCAGTTCTTTTATTTTTCTTTCTGTTTCTTCTCCACTGACATGTTTTTGACGTTTAATTTTGTTTGTTTGGTTGGTTGTTTGTTTGCGTAGCTCACAGATCATTGAGACGCGGTAAGTCATATTTTATTTACGTTTTTATAAATGTTTTTGTTTTCACCCATCGGCCCATGTTTGTGTTTACGTTGACCCCAATTGCTTTCTGTTTGTGTGACCTTTGACCTGTGGATTGATTAGTCCAGAGTTCAGAAGGTGACGTTGGGACCAACTGACGGTTCCCTCCTGTCACCGTGACCATCGGTGGTTTATAGACTTACGATGACGTGATCTCTCTGCTCAGACCTTAGTAATCAATCACACCGATGTAGAACTTTAGCGCGTGACGTTCCTGTTACTGTGGGTTACAGACTGTCCTCCTGTGTCCGACTGACTCAGCTACAACCACAAATAATGGTGACCCAGAAAACTCAGCCCAGAGTGGAGATCAAATTAAATCTGGTATTTCAGATTGTTGTCCTGATGGTGGAGAATCAAAAAGTAATGAGCTGAATTCTGGAAGTAATGAGGAAAAGAGAAGAAACACTGTACGGTAGAGTGTGTTCTCATCCTGGAGTACACAACTACTTTAATAACAGCTTTAACAAAAAACATGTTTGTTTGTGTTGACTGAAAACAACATCAGTGATTGCACTTTGTTTTCTCTCCTAATGTCAAAGAGAAACAACAACAAATACTGAATAAAAACTCAAGGACTCTAACAAGAAGCATAAGGACAAAGTTAGAGGAGGATTATTCCAGGACAAAAAGAGGAACCACCCCGAGACCCTGAGTAACTGGTCTGAGATCAGAGATCTGGTGCAGTTGCAACACAGTCCAGATAAGAAAACTGCTGCCTGCTCACTCTTGGGGCCTCACTCCTTCAGCCACACTCCTTTGACTTCACTCCTGCAGCATCACTCCCGAGGCTTTACACCTGTGGCTTCTCTCCTGCGGCTTTAATCCTGCAGTCTCACTCCTGCAGCCTTACTCCTGTGACATCACCCCTTCATCCTCACCCCTGTGACATCACTCCTGCAGCCTTACTCCTGTGCCATCACTCCTGCAGCCTTACTCCCGTGACATCACTCCTTCATCCTCACTCCTGTGACATCACCCCTTCATCCTCACCCCTGTGACATCACTCCTGCAGCCTCACTCCTGTGACATCACTCCTTCATCCTCACTCCTGTGACATCACTCCTTAATCCTCACTCCTGTGCCATCACTCCTGCAGCCTTACTCCCGTGACATCACTCCTTCATCCTCACTCCTGTGACATCACCCCTTCATCCTCACCCCTGTGACATCACTCCTGCAGCCTTACTCCTGTGACATCACCCCTTCATCCTCACCCCTGTGACATCACTCCTGCAGCCTCACTCCTGTGCCATCACTCCTTCATCCTCACTCCTGTGACTTCCCTCCTGTGACATCACTCCTGCAGCCTCACTCCTGTGACATCACCCCTTCATCCTCACCCCTGTGACATCACTCCTGCAGCCTTACTCCCGTGACATCACTCCTTCATCCTCACTCCTGTGCCATCACTCCTTCATCCTCACTCCTGTGCCATCACTCCTGCAGCCTCACCTCACTCTCTTATCTCTATTTTTCCCATTGAAGCAGAGCAGAACAAAGTAAAAGAGAAGAGAATGAAAAAGACAGAAGAAGGAAGGTGGAGACAAGAATCAAACTGAAGACATCGTGGACAGAGTTGTCCATGTTTGTAGACACACTCTTGTCTTCATTCTGCATGAGTCCAGACTAATGTCTCCAACAGGTCACCCTGGTCTGTCCTGTGTCCTCTGTGTCTTATGATGTCACTGCTGCAGACTGGAGCTTCTCAAAGACAATGTTTGGACTGGTTTGGCTCCAGACAAGAACCGGTTCAGTTCCAAAGAAGGGAAAGTTCCACTTCATCAATCTCAACAGAAACATCCTCCCAATTATTGTAGAAACAGTTCCAGACAGGAACCCGTCGTAGGTTGGGGCACGTCATGTTAAACATGTGTTTCATGACATCAAGAACTGTCCCCTGATTGACCTCCATCTGCACTGTGTTTGTCCACTGTCTGTCCTCCATCTCTCATCTTTTATGTCCTCTGTCCTGGGTCTATCCTCTATACTGTTTGTCCTTGGTGAGTCCTGTGTCCATATTTCTGTCTGTCCTCAGTATGAACGCTGTTTCTGTTGATTCATGAAAACCCATTCAAAGATCACTTATTGATTACTTTCTGCTGAAGCTCCGCCTACAGCAGGTGAAGTGGGCGGGGCTGACGGCTCTGGCACAGGAAGTAGAACCCAAAGGTCTTTCTTTTTCTCCCTGTTTCCTGTCTGTGTCCATGTATATATGTGTCTCCAGAAAAGGAAAATCGGATTAGTGGAATCCTGACATCCCAGACGGAACCCTACGACCTGTCCTTCTCCCGCTCCTTCCAGAGTCTGTCTCACCTGCCGCCCTCCTACGAGGCAGCCATCAAGGCTGACCTCAGCCGTTTCTCATCCCTCAAGAAACTCAGTAGGTCAAAGTTCAGCCGTGCCTGGCATGGTGGAAAAATTACTGCATTTCCAGAATCAGGATGGGGACTGAACCAAAGACCTCCGTTATTATCTTGGATCAGAATCAAGCTCCGCCCCTCTGGTTGCCTGTTCTTTGAGCTTATTAACCCTAGTCAATGAGTTAAAACAAAAACAAGAGAGTTGCCAGAGTCTACAGGAGGTTTGGTGATCCAGTAATGTTCACAACAGGGACATAAATATAAGAGTAAACACGTTCAACCACAGTCAGAAAAATCAGTCAGAAATCAAATTAAATGTTACTAAAGTTATTGAGACATTTTTTTATCCGCCTTCTTAAATCTTCTTTGTGTTGTTTGTTGAAATAAACATTTTGGTTTTAGCTTGTAGCCTGTTCAGCTGTTGATGCTGATCTGGGATATTTTACCTCAGACTTTTGGCGTTTTCTTTTAGTTCACTTTTATCTTGGACACGCTTCGCTTATTTAGCAAATGTGACATTTTTCACTTTGCGATTTTTGGTTCCACAGTCCTCCTCAGGTTATAACATGACTGAATGTCCTCCCGTTAACTGTTCCGACCATCTGTAAATGCTACCAGTTTTTTTCAAGGCTTTGTTAAACAGTCATTAGTGATAAAAGCAGCTCAGAAATGTGTCAACGTGAAAAACATCCGCAGGCGTCTTTGAATCTCACAAACTTTTGTTTCTAAAAATCATGTTTCTTTTGCTGCCAAAACAACAGAAACAGCCAAAAGGCTGAGGAGGAGGAGGAGGAGGAGGAGGTGCTGCTGCTGCCTCAGTGCGGTGTAGACCACGGTGCCCTGGTGCTGGCAGGATAGAGAACATTGTAGCCGTGATTTCCTTGTCAGGTTCAATGAAAGAGAAGGGGGTCCTAAGTGTTTTGACGTAGCCGAGCAGAGAAGGTGTCAGGACTTCTTCTCTGACACTGATGAGGCGGCGGCAGCTCCACTGACTGCATCCTGAAGAACATCGGCGCTCAGAAAAGAACATCTTGTTTTTATTATCTCCTCTAATGAATCCATTTAGCAGAGAGCGGCCACTGCTGCGCTGCGTTTTGGCAGAGTTTAATCTGGACAGGTGGCGTGAAGACGAAGCGTAGATGTTATTGAAGAAGAGGAGAGTCGGCGGAGTCACCTGAGAATTTTTAATTTAAAGCTGCTGCTGCTGAGCTCCGTGCTCTGGATAATTGATTCTCCCTGTGTAATAATAGAAGAGTCACTTTGATTCTGACGATGCCCAGAGTTAAAAGACCATCAACAATAGGATCCTACAAGTGAAGGGAACCAATTTATTCTGAATGTTTTTTTCTGTCACTAAAAAGTTTTGAGATGAACATCACATTTATTTGAGCCAGGCTTAGAAATAGTTGAAAAAATGGAGAAATATTCCTTTAAACTCAAACCAATAAAGGCTGAAGTCATTTTTACAATCGGTCAAATTCACAAAGCAACAACAAATTAAAAACTATTTTTGTGAAAATGTTTCCGTTAAAAACAAACCAAAGGTTGCGGGAAAAGAAGCTAACAGTTAGCTAAAAGATAGACAGAAGATGTCCTAGTGACGGTCTCCAGAACAGTGTGGACAACAGACATCCAGTGGTTCTGCATGACTGTGTAGCATGAAGACAACACTGCACCGTCTCTGTCCTCACTTTCTCTACCTCTCTGTCCTCACCTTCTATACGTCTCTGTCCTCACCTTCTATACGTCTCTGTCCTCACTTTCGCTACCTCTCTGTCCTTACCTTCTATACGTCTGTCCTCACCTCTACCGCTCTGTCCTCGCCTTCTCTACCTCTCTGTCCTCACCTTCTCTACGCCTCTGTCCTCGCCTTCTCTACCTCTCTGTCCTCACCTTCTCTACGCCTCTGCAAATGTCTGATTTTTGGAAGTCCTCATCTCCAGGACAATGACCTCATCCGTGACCTGTCCCTTACAGCTGTCCACGTCCTTCTGCACTGATATGGAAAGTCTGTCTGTAAACATGTCCTTGTCTCTGATCTGTCTCTGGAAGCATGCCTGTCCACTTGATCTTCACTGTAGGACATCAAACTCATTGGACGTCATGTGACTTTGCTGTGTTTGTCTGCAGTACTATGTTGTTCCAGTTCCTGCCTGCTTCTCTTCGCATCGGTACCATCTTCTGATTCTAACGCCTGTGATACAGTTTGTCCCCACAGTGTGATCACTCCTGGACATTTCTGTCTCAGTTCCTGGTGTTTATTCTCCTCACCCACCTCAGAGAAGTCAAACAAAGTCGGTTCTCAGGCAGCATGTTCCTCTGCACCCATGTTCTCCAGTCCTTCTCCTCCTCCGGTTCCTGTGTTCTGGTTCTTACGTCTCTCTTCTGTCTTTTTGTCTCCTCTAAAGCTGATAAGGAGGTGGACGACTACTACAGTCGCAAACGACACCTGCCTGACCTGGCAGCACGAGGAACTCTCCCTCTGCACGTTCTCAAACTCGGTCAGGACCAGGTAGGAATCTTAGTACGTCTCTTTGATTTTATTCATGAAGACCTGAGCTCAGTTCTGGACCTGATCAAGAAAAAAAACTAATTCATTGTTGTTGTTTCTTTTTTGTTGTTCTTCAGCAGGTCCAGAACCAGCCCCCCCAGTCCTCCATGTCCCAGGCTCCGGCCCAGTCCCAGTCTTCCCAGCAGCAGCCTCAGCAGAGGCAGCGGCCTCGTCGAGTCCAGCGGGCCATGTCCCAGGACCGGGTCCTAACTCCTCAGAGCGCCCCCCAGCAGGATTACAACATGTCCCCCAATGGCATTTCTCCGTACGGAGGCAGGATTCTCTCTGACGAGCAGCTGCTGTCGGCCGAACGCCTCCGATCACAGGAGCGCCTCCTACCGCAGGAACGCCACACCACCTCCCAGGAGCGCCTGTACACCAAGGATCGCATGTACTCCAAAGACCGGCTCCTGTCCCAGGAGCACCTGTACCCCAAAGACCGCCACTACTCTCAAGAGCGTCTGTACTCTCAGGAGCACCTGTACTCCCACGACCGCCTCCTGTCTCAAGATCCTCTGCTGTCCCCGGACAAGCTAATGATGTCACTGAAAAGGGGAATGGTCAGCAACATCTCTGGAGGGTTCCGGGGCAGTGACAAGTCCATGTCCAGGGCCATCTCACACACGGATGTCTTCATACCCACAACCCCAGTGATGGATCGCTACAAGATGACCAAGATGCACTCACATCCCAGTGCGTCCAACAACAGCAGCGGAGGTGGTGGTGGTGGCGGCGGTGGAGGAGGAGGAGGAGGAGGACCATCGCAGGGATCGGGAGGAACCACCAACACGTTAGCCATGAACCACACGGTTACTAAGAGGCAGGCATTTGCTTCCAGACGGACTCACACCGTGGAGCAGCTCCACTACGTTCCACAGCATCAGCACCAGCAGCAGCAGCACTACCGTACAGGCAGCAAGACTGAGGTGACTGTGTAATCCAGACCTGGTCCACCCATCTGCCAGTGAACCAGTAACATTAGGACCAGTGCAAGGATCAAGTTCAGAGACCTCCAGGACCAGCACCATAGGACAGTGAAAAACCAGAAAACTAGAGATTGTACAATGGGTCAACAAACCAAGCTAGGCCTCCAGCCTGAGGACATTGAGGGTCAGAGGACTGGGGGGGGGCAGGTGTAGACTTATAAACCGAACTAAGCTGCCATTATTAACCAGTTCTACGTCTCCATGACCTCCATCCACAGGTCACTGCCATTATTCTGTCCAAGAAAGAATTGAAACTAGGTGTGTCCATGTTTCGACTCCACCCACAGAACTTTGATTTTTTTTTATTTCTCCCCTCTTTTCTTCCTGCCGGACCTCCTGAGAACCTTCTTCTTGGTTGGTTCTGTGTGGTTGTTGTCAGATTCCATCTTGTCAAAACTCCCAGAACATCCAGACTGTGAGAGACCGGACACACCTTCACTGTTCACGCCAACATTTCCACTCGTCCAAGTAGGAAAGGTGGAGGTCGTTAGGGTGGATACCAGAGAATTCAAACCAAGCTGCTGTAGAAACCACTTCCACTGTCCGGATGGTCTCCATCCAAACTCCGCCCACTTTGGCCGTCAAAGCCAATCAAACAAAAACTGAAGCTTCAATCCAATAGAGCTTTCTGCTGAATCTTAAAGGGCTCTGCGTGGTTCAACAAAGGTTCTTCTTCAGGCTCCACCACAAACTAGAACCAGAACCAGGACCAGAACCAGGCCTGAAACAACTTTATATATGTAAAAATAAACCTTCAGAGAGAATCTGGAACCACCGGCCTCTCTGCCTCCACCCCACTCCCTGAGACTGACGTGGTTCTGCGGTTCACCAAGCACAATCGGAACAACAACGAGATCTCCTCCGTCTGGACACTGTGTTTGAACGTAGTGATGGTTAGTCTGTCGTGGCAGCAGCAGTGTCACAGTCCTTTCTTCTCCAGTAGACTGTAAATACGCTCTCTTAGAAGCCACTCTCTGATGGACTTGATCTTAGACTTCTGTCTGTTTTCAGTAGATTCTTAAAGATGAAAAACTATAAACCAGTCACTGTTTCGTGAGTTGAGTATAGAATAAAATATCTACTTAATCAAGTATCTGACAGGAAAATGAAAACTAGAATGCGTGTGCGTGGGTGTGCGTGGGTGTGTGTGTGTAGCCTGTGTTTCATCCTGATGATGAATTCATTCTAAATCTGTGAAGTCAAATAAAAACATCCATATTTTTATAACCACTCCACTGAGTCTGGTCCACTGGACAAAGGTCTGGGTGTCACAGCGGGAGGGGTCATAGTGGGGGGGGGGCAGAGGAACGTTGGTACAAATGTCTCAGGTTTTGGTTGCATTTCAACTCAACAAAACTAAAAAAAAAATTTAAATTTTTTGAAAAGGTAAATGTTTCCTTACACAGTAGGAGAGTTAGTCAGGGTGACTCTGGGTAAAAAGTCACTGTTTCAGGGAGAACTAATGTCAATCAAGAGGTGTTACCTGAAAGTCAGAGGAAGAAGGAGCGGCTGTTGCTGCGGTGGAGGTGTTCTGGAGACGCAGGTTCAGGAACCGCTGAGTGTCGTCCGTGGAACACAGAACAGGAACAGGAAATATGACCAAAAAAAAGG